AGTCCCAGTGGGTTGGGTGTGCCCTCAGCCAGCCTCTTTCATTGTCTCTTTTCTGTATGGTTTTGTGAGAAGCAATCCTGTTCCAGGCACATCTCTTTCACAGGGAGGAGGGGAAAAATTGTTTTCTTTGGCCTCTGATAATAGCACAAGAAGCAACGGGCTTAAACTGCAGCAAGGGAAGTTTAGGTTGGACATTAGAAAAAACTTCCTAATTGTCAGGATGGTTAAATACTGGCATAAATTGCCTGGGGAGGTTGTGGAATCTCCTTCACTGGAAATTTTTAAAATCAGGTTGGATAGACATCGATCAGAGATGATCTAGATCAGTGTCTCTCAACCTTTTTTTTTATAAAGTACCTCTTTTATAAAATAAAATTGTAAGTCCCCCCCCATTAAAAACAATTATAAGTACCCCCAGTATCTACAGTTTTCAGACACACACTTTTTTCTATCATCGCAACACATTAGTTTAATCGTAGCCAGGTGGGCAATGAAATTTTTGGGTGTAAAAAGTACAAAAATAACAAAGCGCTGTAAAACTTAAAACAGAAATTCAGTTTTCTCCAAGTTTCAGTTGTGTTGATATACCCCCCAGACTTCTCTCGAGTACCCCAATGATATTTGTATCACTGGTTGAGAAACACAGGTCTAGATCAGGTTTACTCAACTTTGGAAGCCCTAGGGGCCACAATCATACAACACATGCTGAGGTCCGCAACTTAAGTGTGGTTGCGTACACATGCAAATATATGCAAATAGCTTCTTTCACACTGACGGGCATGAATACAAAGATTAAGGCAAGACTACACAACAGGCAGGCCCCATTTAAATCAGTTCTGCTGATGTTCATAAAATGCAATATTTACCTGATTTCCATACAACAGCACTTTGAATGAGCAATTGATTGTCCAGGAATTTAACTACTAAAACGCATATCAACAGAAGATCATTATATTGACTTGCTGTTGTGGAGCATGTTCCCAGTGGAGGCCATGTTCAAAGGAACCTACCTGTGGATCGCATGTTGAGCCCTGTGTAAACCCAAACCGCCCTGTGGGCCACAAATGGCCCACAGGCTGCATGTTGAGTAGCCCCGATCTAGACAGTGCTTGGTCCTGCCGTGAGGGCAGGGGACTGGATTTGATGATCTCTCCAAGTCCCTTCCAGTTCTAGTATTCTATGACCCAAACCCTTACCTTGCTATTAATTTATGATAAAAGGGAGCTGTATACCAAATTTGGTGTCCTAGCTCTTCCTGTTTAGGAGGAGTTTTTGAACATACAAATTTTCTCAGATATATAGTATTTTGATTGCTAAATGTCTTGTCTTGAGTCAAAAATATAACCTCCATCATGAGTTGAAGTGTTATAATTTGTTTCGTCCTCCCACACTGATTAACAAAGAATGAAGAATTGTTTGTAAGAGGGCAGTCACCTAGCTGTCGTCTTCCAAATTAGGGTTTATATGCTGCTTCCATGTGGGTTTTATAATTTTTTGTCATTGTAGTTTAAAACTTCAGCCATTTGTTGAAATCCTAACATACAGCCCCTGATTTGTGTCATAGCATGTTGGGGATTGAATCTCCAGATCTTTCTGAAATTCCGTAAGATTAAACAGCATTAAAGGGGAAATAATATTGGCTAGATCTATGTACCTTGTAAGTTCTCCCCCCTAGTCTGATATTGACGTATGAGATATATGAATGAACTAGATTCTTGTCATTATTTTTGAACCAAAGTTTAATCGTTGCCAATGTTGAAATGTCCATTCTTGATACATTCATTAGGTCATAGCTCTATTCTCTCATGGAGATACTGAGCTGTATTTCTTCAGACTGCAGTCAGTCTTTGCTGGCAGATTTAACAGGAGGTACTGCACACAAATTTCAGTTGGCTTTGACTTCAGCTGTAAGAATCTTAAATCCAAGCCAGTGTTCACAGCATCTCTCTTGTTCCAAGTCTTGGACTCTTAGAAAAACAGCATATTGATTTGTAAGATGCTTGCGATTAACTTTTAATGCGGTTTCTTTTTCTGGGCCCTTTAAGCTGAGTGAATTGTGTATTCCCTTTGTCCCTTGCTAAACGCTTTAGGTAGCTAATGTTCCTATTCTCTGTGTACTGAGGTCAGATGTCCTTTGGGGCAAAAACTTTTTTTTGTACCAAACTCTCAAATTCCTTTCCAGTGGGATCAACTAAGTTTTTTTAAAAGGTTGAGCCTGAATCGGGCTAAGAATAGGGATGTTAGATGTAGTGTAATCTAGGGATGTAAGCAATGAATCGACTAGTCACTTCCTCCCTCCCCTTGCTGCCTCTATCACAAAGACGGGGGAAAAGGAGAAGGTGCTGGGGGGGAATTGGCTTAAAAGCTGGTTCCCTCTAGCTCCATGGGAGCAGGAGGGGTTGCTGTGGTGGCATTCCAATTTTGAAATGTACAAGAGTCCCCACTGGGACTCAAAGGCGGACCGATGTGCTAGTCCTTATCAACTAATCTAGTAATCGATGGAAACATCGACTATTTGATTAGTTAATTGAAATTTAACATCCCTAGTGTAGTTGAATAGTTGTATAACTGCATGAAATCTTAGCAGTTATACAACTATTTGATAGTTCCCGGAGGCAGCAACCCGGGGGAGGGGGATAAGTGGCGCTGGAGGGAACCGGCTTTTATGCCAGCTCCCCCCAGCTGCCTCTGTAGGAGGCAGCAAGGAAGTGGGGACAGGCAGGTCCATGGGAGCCAATATGCATGGGGAGCTGGATTGAAAGCCAGCTCCCCATGCTTACTGGCTCCAGCCTATCCTCCCACCCTCCATGCTACTGCTTCTCTATTAGAGGCAGCAGTGCGGGGGTGGGGTGTGAGAGCAGGCGGGTCTGGTACTTGAGGGGGGCCAGTTTAAAAGCTAGTTCCTCAAGGGCACCAGCTTCCACTCCCCCTCTTGCTGCCTCTGATACAGAGGCAGCAAGGGGAGGTAAATGCACGTAGTTGACAAAATTAACTCTTTACATGATGCAAAATGCAGGACAATGTAGCACTTTAAAGACTAACAAGATGGTTTATTAGATGATGAGCTTTCGTGGGCCATCTAATAAACCATCTTGTTAGTCTTTAAAGTGCTACATTGTCCTGCATTTTGCTTCAGCTACCCCAGACTAACACGGCTACATTTCTATCACTCTTTACATGATGGCATTCCTAGTTTTGAACAGTTTGATTTACTCTAATACTATGTAAAAATTATTCAGATTAAAAATAACTATATACATATTTAATTTTCCTCTGAAAAGGTACAAAAGGTAGGTCGGTCTTGTTTTCTCTGGACATTACAATGTTGAGCTCATGCTGCAGAAGTCCATGCTGGGATCCAAATATGCTAGTTTGAACTAGGGATGTTAAGGACTAGTCAACTAGCCAATAAGCAAATGCTTATCGGATAGTCAGTTGACTAGTGGATTCCTCCCCCCCCCTTTTGCTGCCTCTATCTGATAGAGGAAAAGGAGGTACTTTAAAGCAGCAGTGCTGCACAGCTGATCTGGGGTTCAGCTGTGCGGTGCTGCCCCTTTGAAACGCTGAGGTGGCGTTTGAAAGGGACAGCGCTGCATAGCTCAAATCAGCAGCGCAGCATGGAACTTGGGGTTAGCAGGGGACTCCATGAGGGCGCTGCCGCTTTGAAATGCACCAGAGCCCCTGCTGGGGACTCTCGTACATTTCAAAGCTGGCACGCCTGAGTCAGCGGGACTTCCCGCTGGTCTCAGGCTGCACAGCTCTTGTACATTTCAAAGGAGGAATGCAGAAGTGCTTATGGATTAGTCAGTTAACCATTACTTAGCATCCTTAGTTCAAACCATGTTTAAACAGGCATTTCTTTCAGGATTAAGTCTTGGCTTGACAAAGCCCTGGCTGGGTTGATTTAGTTGGGATTGGTCCTGCCTTGGGCAGGGGGCTGGACTTGATGACATCCTGAGGTCTCTTCCAGCTCTGTGATTCTATGATTGTTACATGATTTTTTTCTAATGAGCATGGGCAGATTTATTTCTTTGCGAGGTGTATTATAGCTAGAGGCCCCTCTGATCATACAAGCTGATCCACTAGTGTAGATCCCTTTGTTTGTGTAGCACTGCACAGGGGAAGTGGTCTGTACTAGCTGGGCTAAAGCAGGGGTGACTGGAGAAAATTCTACAGCTTGTTTTGTATGGAAGCCCAAGCATTAAGATTAACCAGTTAACTCAGGGTCAGCAACCTATGGCTCTCGAGCCAAATATAGCTCAGTATGAAACCAAATATGACTCTTTGGTCATTCCCAAAATACATGCAACTTTTTAAATTAAAATGAAAAATTCAAAATTTTAAAAACGCGTAAAACGCTTGTAGTCTGAATGTGTGCATGAACTTGAATTTGACCAGTTATGATGTAAACTTCAAAGGAATGTATGAAAAGATGCAGCAGCAGAAGTCCCATTAAATAAAATCTGTGAGTACATTTAATTTATGCTATTATTAATCATCATGGCTTTTTGTTGACCACCTGATCTGAATTTTGATGTAGTTTGGCTCTTTGGTTTGAAAAGGTAGCCGATCCCTGAGATAACTGATTAAGCAGGATCCCTGGTGGGGGACCACTCCAGTATGACTGGAGCAGCCCACAGGGCTATCAGCTCTGTGTGCAGTGGGCCTAGCGGGGCTGGAACTGGGGGGCTGCGAGTGGGGGAGGGGCTGCTCCTAGGCACCAGGTAACCAGTTAATTGGTTACCCATTCACAGCCCTATTACACACTATGCTATACACCTTGGTGCAGTGGGGCATGAAGTACAGTTCTTAGGAAGAAAAAAAATGTATGCTCCCACTGCTCAGGAAAACCGTGGTGGAACTCTGCCAGTAAAACCCATATAAAACGCTATTGTGTAAATGTATAATGCAGTTCTCGGATGTTCTGCCATCATTGGGGCATAAACCATAAAGAACTGTGCTTATGTTGGAAAGTGGTTTGGTCTTTTTTCTACGGACACATGTTAACCATGTAAGCAGTTCTAGACTTGACCTTCACAGTCAACTCAGGCAAGACTAATGTGAATCGGGGGTACTTCCAGGTTCAAGCACAGTGACTTAAAATACTGACATGATGCGGCTTTTCAGCATGGTGTTAGTGCTTTTAAGTCAGCCTGACCTATAGAATGGGGCACTATATTTTTAAGTAGGGGACCCCACTGGAAACACACCCATTTCATGATGATTCCCTGTTTACAATTAATTTTGAAGCCCCTCTGTTAGCCAGTTTTTAATCCATTTAGCGTGTGCCATGTTAGATTAATATCTTTCAAGTTCTTTTAATCAAATTGTTGTGTGATACCAAGTCAAATGCCTTAGAGAGGACTAGATATAGTATATCAACTCTGTTACCTTTATCAGTCAAACTTGACATCTTTTTTTGACAAGATTACAAGTTATTTTGACATGAGTCGTTTTCCATAAACCTATGTTGATTTTCATTAATTACATTAGCCTTGCTTAATTTGAATTAATCAAGTCCCATATTAGCCCCTCTTATCTTTGCCTGAGATCACTGTCAGCCTAACAGTCCTATAATTGCCTGGCTCATCTTGTTTACCTTTTTTAAAAATTGCCACATTAGTTTTCTTGGACAGTGCATCAAGACTCACTGAAAATTGACATTAATGTCCCAACCAGCTCATCAGCCAGTTTACAAATTTTTTTGGATGTGGCTTATTGGGACACCTACTGTTTTAAAAAAAATCTAACTTTAGTAGCTTCTGTTTTACATCCTGCAGAGAGGTATCAATAGAACGGAAAGAATCTTATCACTTTATGATGAGGCGATATCATCTGTTTTTCTCCAAATACAGAACAGAAATAATTACTGAGCACTTCTGCCTTTCCATATTATTATAATTCTACCATTTCCATCTAGTAATGGACCAAAGCCACTTTCAGAATATTCCTAATATAGTTAAAGAACTGCTTTTTGTCCTTAACTCTCCTGACTATAGAGTTCTCCTTCTGTCTCTTTTCTTCCCTTATCAATTTTCTACCATTCCAAACTTCTTGATTTTATATTCTGTGTAACTTGTGCATGTATAGCCACATTTCATATGTTCTCAAACTATGCTATCTGTTAGCATTTCCATTCAGCTTTACCTCTGTGCTCTTAGGCAAGCTATTCCCAAAGCCAGAAAATGCAGCTGACTGGACAATCTGCTTCCCAGATTTTCCCAGGAAGCATTGGATACATATATAGATGATAGGTGCAGAGAAGCAAACAGATCTAATCTATCACTGTGCTGGAGGAGAATCCTGCTATGTGGATTTGATTGTACTGTATCAATAATTGGGTCAGGTGAGCATGTCAGAACATGGTTCCACAAATCTGGTTATAAGTGATGTAGATATGAAGATTAGTGTAACCCACATAGGGAAGGGGGAAAACTGAGGGTGCCGAAAAGGAATAGAGAAGAGAAAAAGGAATAACTTCAATGATTACAAATATCTGTCTCTTCTGATGACCATGGAAATAATCAAGGCTGTTTAGCATAAAGAGCACTCTGGGAGCGGAATGCTGGTATTTACAAGATCGTTGGCTAGATCTCATCCTCTGCTTCTTCCTGGCAGGCACCAGGAATGCGGTATTAAACACAGAGGCCCGGACTGTAGAGGCAGACGTTCTGAGCCGCCGCTGCGTGATGATGCGGCTTGTGGATTTCTCGTATGAGCAGTACCAAAAGGCCCTCCGCCAGTCAGCTGGGGCCGTGGTGATCATCTTGCCCAAGGCCATGTCAGCAGTACCGCAAGATGTTGTCCGGGTAAATATCCCTCCAGATAGAGTGGTGATGTTAATGGAGAAAGGGAGCAAAGATTCAGGTACAATATAGTGACCGAAACACCCCATTGTGGTTTGATGTGGGTTTCTGTCAAGGTTAACATTAAAACTTTGATTTATGCCCTCTGCTTTGGCCATTAGATTGCTTGCCTCCTTGCAAGTTTAATGAAGCCTAAGTTTGCCCCTCTCCTCCTAAATTTTCAGCAATTCATGGAGATAGAGCCAGAAATGCTGGCCATGGAAACCATCGTGCCGGTCTATTTTGCAGTTGAGGATGCAGAGCTGCTCTCCATCTATGATCAAACACAGGCTGCTTCTACATCGCAAGGAACAGCTTCTGCTGCTGAAGGTGAGTTGCAATAAAAGGAGGGAGTTGAAAGGAAGAAAATGGTCCAAAATAATGTTCCTTAGTCACGTGTCCCTCTGAATGGTAGGCAGATGTTTCTGCAAAATTCTGGAAATGCAGCATGGTCTAATGGCTAGGGCAATAGATTCCAGGAGTTCTGAGTTTTATTCCTAGCTTGCCTACTGTGTCATTTGGACAGACCACTTAATTTTCGTGGTCTTACTTTCTGTATCTGCAAATTGGAGATAATGATCTGTGAATGAAAAGGCTATATAAAGGCTGTGTTGTTACATTACTTGGAGAGACATGATTTAGAAATATTGTTCTGCACAAATCCTTATTTCAGTTTCATCTCATTTGCAACATTGTAGGGCCCAAATTCAGTAAAATTTGGTGAGAAGTTGTGTTTTATTAGTAGTTATAGCAGGTATAGTCGAACCGCGAAGTAGCGAGGGTTTACTGTATTCCTGGCCCTGCCACTGATCACTCTGTGTCCTTGGGCAAGTAACTTAAACACTTATGTTCCTCAATTTACTTCATTGTAAATGGCATTCATTTTTATCTGTCTGTCAAGTGTGTTGGGCTTAATTATTTGTAACATCCTTTGGATACTGGGGTGAACATTTGTTGAGGGTTTTTTTAGCAGAATTAAAATGCTTTGTCACTAGATTTTCATTCTGATGTGGTTTTAGCAGAATTAAAATGCTTTGTCACTGGAAACATAAAACATAAAAGTCATAAAGGTGATGGGCTAAGCTAGACTTTGCATCAGCTGGGAAGGGAATTCACGGGGTAAGATTTTTTTCCCTCACAATATAGTGAATTCTTTGTTTCTAGTTCTGCTGCACACGGCAACGGCCAATGGCTTCCAGATGGTTACAAGTGGGGCTCAGAGCAAGGCTGTCAGTGACTGGCTGATAACCAGCCTTGAGGTGAGTTCTAGATGGATCAGAACTGGGATCTAGGCTGGTAATATTTATAGGAAAGCCCATTCCGTATGGGGATTTCACCGAGTGGTGTGCTGTTAAAACCTCAGAGGAAAGGAGAGATTTTTTAGCCAAGTAGTAGAGACAGCTTTTCCACCTTTCTGGCTTCAGAAACCAGAAAGCGGGTTAAGAACTTAATGCTGGAAATCAGTGGAAGTATGATTATTCACTGGGGAGATGGTTAGGAGTGGTCTGTTGTACCCCTGCACTACAGGCAATAGAGTAATGCAGGAAGGGATGCTGGGTAATGATCCTGTGTGTTCTCTCTCCAGGGGAGGCTGGCTGCTCTGGGAGGAGACGACCTGCCTACCATTGTAATAGTTGCCCATTATGATTCCTTTGGAGTGGCCCCAGTAAGTATTATTTTTCCTGCAGCTCTCTGTTCTTGTTAACTGGTTGCATCCCAGCACATGTGTACCTGCCTCTTCTCCTCCCTCTTGCTAGGGGTCGGGCAGGGGTGTTTAAGGGGCCTGTAAGGCCTGTGTGTTGCAAGGAAGCTGTGCTATAGTGCCATCACATACCTGTGTCTTTATCTCTCCTGTGCTTTTTCTACAGTGGCTGTCGCATGGTGCAGACTCCAATGGCAGTGGCATCTCTGTGCTACTAGAGCTGGCCCGGCTCTTTTCTCGACTCTACACCTACAAACGTACCCATGCTGGGTAAGAAGCTGCTCTCTCCACTGGAGAGCATGGGTGGGGGTGGGCTCATGGAAGGAGTTTTGGCTGAGAGAGAGACTCATTAAGAATCCTGCAGATGTGACATGTTCTACATGCAGAGTCCTTTAGCACAGTGACTGGGCTGGCATGGTTAAACCAAGTTGCCTGTGCGCTGTTACCACAAGCTCTATTTCCATACATCTGCTGTTCATGAATGATCATGCTCTTTCCTATCTTTTCCTTGCAGTGGCTTATCTGTTTATGCTTTGTGTAAGGTGGAGGCTGCATGATCTAGTGGAGTGAGGGCAGGATAACAGCCAGGAATTCTTGTACTCTGATCCCTGCTCTGCCACTGTCTTGCTATGTGGCTTGTGGCAAGTTCTTCAACATGTATCTGGTTTTCCTCATCAGCAAAGGGAGGCTAGAGACACTTACATCTCAGGACTGTTGGGAGAAGGGATTAGTTAATGGCTCTACAGTGTCTTGGAAATGTAAAGTGTGTAAGTGCCAAATATTCAGTAAGAACTGTGTGTTCCAGCAGGCATTTCCTTGCCTTCTGCTAGGATGTGGATTTTATGCTATTCTTGTATAGATGTTGCAGTCAAGTGCATGTGGTATGTAAAGTAAAAACACTCGTGATTTTACTCAGGGGTGCTTAACAGGATGCAGCTCAGAGCAGAAGTCAGTCTTTGGGCAAAGTGCCATGCACTGTCCTTTACCTCTTCTGAGGCTGGGCATGCTGCCACCACAGCCAAGAATTCTGCTAACTATAATTTCCCCATGTCTTGGTGGGCAGGTATAATCTGTTGTTCTTTGCATCTGGAGGAGGCAAATTTAACTATCAAGGAACCAAGAGGTGGTTGGAAGACAACTTGGATCACACAGGTGAGACAGACACCTAGAATGCGAGCAGAGTGTTGTCCTGCAAGCTCAGCTGGAGGGGAGCAATTTCAGAAATGAAAACTTCCACTCTTTGTGCTATAATAAATTAGGATAGGGAGGCGGGTGGGTTGTCTAACTTCAGGGGCTGTGGTGTCATTTGCGGGCGAAACACTAGCCCGCTGTATGTGTCCTGTGCTCTCTGGGGAGAATGTGGTTCTCTGGGAGCTGGAAGGTTAAGGAAAATGCTAGGGACATGAGAGGTGTATGAGTCAGGACTAGGCATATGGGCCTGCAGTGGTCCCCTCCAGCAATACACATTCCAGAGAGAAACTGTTGTCTTCGGAGGGTTTGCAAAAAGGACCCCCCAGACTAGTGTTGAGAGCAGGATTGGGATTAGAAGTTTGGTTCTTTTCCTGACCCTGTCACTGATTTGCTGTGTCATTAGCTGTTGTGTTTCATGTTTCCCCTCTAAAATCAAGATATATTCTTAGTGATCTACCCCTATGGGGTTATGACGGTTAATATTTGGTAAAGCACTTTGAAAGTCTCAGAATACATGCTTTATTGCCTATGTCAGGGGTCGGCAACCTTTCAGAAATGGCATGCCAAGATTTAATTTATTCACTTCTGTTTACAGATCTGTGTATGAGGGGAAGGGGAAAGACAGAGGCAGGCTGGTGACCCTATTTACTGAACCAGCTGCAGCTAGGGAGAACAGTTTAATTTAAATTATGGAACAGATTAAGCATTTTAACTTTCTCATTAGTTTATCAAACTTCATTTTAAATAAAGTAAAATATTAATTTGTCCAACACAAAAGGTTTCAATGTTTTCTTTATGGCAGGCATGTGGAATCTTATTTAAGTTGGGGGCCACTGACCCACAGAAAAATCAGTTGGGAACCACACAAGTGAGAAGCAAAAAAAACTCCTCAAAACCCCTCAACTCTCACTGATGTGGCCTTCAACAGAGACACCTCAATCCTCTGGCGTTCCAGCTCCATGGGGTGAGGGGAAGGGCTGAGGTTCGGGGCTTCCCATATATCAGATTTACTTTTCTGGGGTTCCAGAGCTTTAGAGGGGTAGCCAAGTTAGTCTTGCAGCACCTTAGAGATTAACAAAACATGTAGATGGTATCATGAGCTTTCGTGGACATAACCCACTTCTTCAGATGAATGGAGTTATAAAGGTCCAGTTTCTAAATAAATGGGGGATATGGGGGGTGGGAGGGGAAGGAAAAAGAAGGATAAAAAGGGGAAAGAAATAGTTAGTGTTGGTGCTACATGAAGCTGATAGAGAAGGTGCTAATTGTTCTTAAGTACCCATAGTTTAGTTGTTTAGGTCATTAGGATGTGGAATGTAGCGTGCCATCTAGCCAATGTCTTTATTCATACCTTTGTGATCTGAATCAAACCTCTTACGTTCTAAGGCATCCTTGTGTAGTTGGCTTGTGGAATTGGCCTGAAACAATATGGTAACTCTGAGATCCATTAATGAGTGCCCGGGCAAGTTGAAATGTTCCCCAACAGGTTTCTGTGTGTTGCCTTTTCAGATATCTGATTTGTGTCCAGAGTTAGTGGATTTTATGGACTCTGGTAGTCTCTGGGGTGGGGACATAAATGAGGGGGTTCAGTGTGAGGGACAGGGCTGCCAGTGTGTGGGATAGGGATGGTGTGCAGGATCTGGGTGGGAGGTAGGGCGCAGAAAGAGTAGAGGTTGCAAGGTCTGGGTGGGAGGTGGGGTGCAGAAATAGGCTGGGAGTTGGGTGTCTCGCCAGGGGGAGGGAATAAGAGCAAGGGAAGATGCAGTGTGTGGCCAGGAGGGAGGGTGTTGGAGCAAGCTGGAGGTGTGGGGTATTGGCAGGGGGAGGGGAGCGAGTGAGGGGGATTGGGGTGTGTCTGGGCACAAGAGGGTCGCTAACCTGGCTTCATGCCCCCTTGCAGCAGGGAAAGCCTCCAGACAGTGTGCTGCTGTTTCCCTAGTGGCGGGGGGGGGGGGGAAGAGAGTGGCACTGCACGGAAGACACCTGCCGAGTATGCCCCGCCCAGCAGTGCCCCAGCTGGGTTTGCCGATCCCTGGCCTATGTGCACATTTTGTATTGTTGGGTGGGCTTTTAATATCAGCTGAATCCATACTGACCTACTGTAATAAAGTACAGGACAGTATCGTCCATGATATTTGTATTGCAGCTATTGTAAGGGAAGAGTAGGGTGCATACTGGCCGCCTTAGGGTATGTCTGCATTTGCACCCTAGTTCAAAAAATTAGGAGTAACGTTAGTTCGAACCAAGGGGTTTGGTTCGAACTAATGCATCCCGGCGCGCACTTTCACTTTCGAAACAGCTGTTGATCGGAGTAATGCGCCGGCAAGATCATGCTAATGAAGCGCGAGATATTTAAATCCCCGCTTCATTGACTATTTCAAATGCCTACATTTGCATCTCTAGTTCGAACTAGGGTGCAAGTGTAGACATACCCTTACTGTGGGTCTGTAATACCTGTGCAAAGTAAAGAGACGTTCGCATTATATGTTCTGCTCATGTTTCAAGTCCCTGAAAGCATGGAGTGGCGTTTCATGGGTTTGGATACATCTGTTTCAGATTCCAGTTTGCTGCAGGATAATGTGGCTTTTGTGCTGTGCCTGGACACGCTGGGCAGAGGGAAAGGTCTTCACCTCCACGTCTCAAAACCTCCGAAGGAGGGGACCCTGCAGCATGCTTTTCTGAGGGAATTAGAGATGGTAATGATACGCATCAACTTTCCTGGGCTTGTGGGGGTGGGCGGGCTGCACATGTGCTGCATGGTTGCGCATTTAGGGGTGAGTAGCTATGGAGAGCTCTTCTGCTTTCATAAAGCATAGAGCATGTGAAGTTATTGTGGCTAAAAGCGATGAAGTCTCATGTCTGGTGGCCTTGATTTGGTGCAAGGAGTTTTCTACCATTTGGAAATCCAATGTGGAACAGATGGTGTCAGTTCCTTTTCTTTAGTACAATGTTTCCTTATAGAGCTTCTTGCTTGTAAGAACTGACTAGCCAGCTCCTGCCACAGATGGCTGCCTCAGCAGCTTGGTGATTGCAGAACGTTGCTTTAATAGTGAGCCAGGTTTCCAGGGTTGCTACATATTTTCCAGGTGCTTCTGCCTTAACCAGTCCTTCCTGAAGGATGTTGGCGGAAACATACCCTTGGAATAGGCTGGGAGAGGGAGGTGTTGCCATCGATAATACTAGAACTGCAGTCTGGGTCAGAACATGGTTCCTGGTCATCCTTTTCCTGGGCTGCATGTCGTCTTCCACAGGTGGTCGCCAGCCAGTTTCCAGAAGTGAAATTTTCCATGGTGCATAAGAAGATAAACCTGGCTGAGGACATGCTGGCATGGGAGCATGAACGCTTTGCGATCCGCCGCCTGCCTGCCTTCACCATCTCCCACCTGGAGAGCCACCGGGACGGCCTGCGCAACAGCATCATGGATGTGAGGTCAGTGGCTCTGAGGGAAGGCATCAGCGGAAGTTCAGTGGTGGCATGGGCGTTTGGGATAGTGCAGAGCTGGCCCAAGCTATGGGCTGACCGGGCTACTGCCCAGGGCACCCCACTGTAGGGGGCACTGCATGGGGCTGCTGGACTGGGCGGGGGTGGGGCTGCACATGTGCTGGTGCCCTGGGAGCGGGGCCACACATGCACCGGGCACCTGGGGCAGGGCCACGCTCCTGGGGCCCGGGGTGTATGAATGGCTCAGGCTGGCCCTGGGCTAGTGGTACTTTATAAACACAGTTGGTCTGGTATCGTAATGTTCTCAAGTGATGGTAGCATATCAGGAACTCTTGAGAAATCAAGACCAAGAGCTGGAGGTGTTCAGTCTGTAACTCTGCTTTGATTAGGTGCCCTATTCTTCCTCCTTCATGAGTGAAGTTTCACCACAGTTGTATGAGTGAAAAGAGCTTTCCCAAGAGACAGCCATTAGCATAGCCAGACTTGTGCCTCCCTTCTCTTCTAGGTCACAAGTTGACTCAAAGACTCTTACCCGTAACACCAGGATCATTGCGGAGGCCTTGACTCGGGTCATCTACAACCTAACTGAGAAGGTATGTGTGTCCCCCTACAGGCACCCAATTGGCCAGGCCTTTCCAGATTAGGAATGTAAAGGGTTAACCAGTTACCTGGTAAGCATTAATCTTACCAGCATGCTTACCGGGGTAACCAGTTAACAAGCAGCCCAGGTTGGCCGGAGGAGCCTCGTGTTCAGGGTGCGTTGTGGTGGGCCTGGCTTGGCCCTCCAGGGTTAACCAGTTAAACATACAGTTTAACTGCTTAACTTTATTTAAATGGGAATTTACATCCCTATTCCAGATTGTGTCTGCCACCATGCTGGCTTTCATCACTGCATCCCTTTTCTCTCTTCACAGGGAGCGCCTGCTGACCTGCAAATCTTCACAGAGCAGATGGTAAGGGAGCAGGGGTCATAGATGTTACCTGGGGTGGAGGGGAGTAAAGTGCTCTTGGAAACCTTTGATCAGCAGCATAAGTTTGTCTAGAACAGCTGGAGTCAGTGATGGACTGGCTGACCAGTCAGCCCAGAGCTGCCCAGCTTGTAGATAAAGACAGCACCTTCCTCAACACCTTAGAATATTACATGAGCCGCTATTTGAAGGATGTCAAGCAGCATCACGTGAAGGCTGATAAACGGTAATGGAGATACTTTGTGCTCCTCGCATAATTAAACTGACTTCCCCTTCCACTGCATCCCTGTCTCCTGAGGAGCAGCTTCTTGGTGTTCTCACTATGTGGAGGTGACTGCTGGCCATGGACAATGTGGGCACATGTTCTTTATTTTCTAAGGACACGTCTAGACTACCTTGGCTTTTGAAAAGATATGCAAATTCGGTGCACATTTGCATATCTTCTTCCAATCCCTTTTTTGGAAGAGGGGTTTTTTTGGGGGGGGGAAGCAGTCTAGACAGCAGTTTTTGCACAAAACCCTCCCTTTTTTTTCGAAAGAACACTTATTCCTCAAAAAACAAGGTTTACAGGGTTCTTTCGAAAAAGGGGGGATTTGTGCAAAAACCCCGTCTAGACTGCTCCCCCCCCCCAAAAAATAACTCTTCCAAAAAAGGGATTGAAAGAAAATATGCAAATTTGTGCCAAAATTGCATATCTTCTTTCGGAAGCCGAGGGTAGTTTTAGATGTGCCCTTAAGGGAAATTCTACCACCTTTAAGGCACTCTCAAAAATTCCAGTGGGCGCAAGAAGTCCAAGCTTTATCCATGAGAAGAGGGGAGTGCCTGTTTTTTTCACTGCTCAGCCCCCTCTGCCTCCAGAAGTCCACCTTGCTAAATATTGGTGTCCCCTGTCTGAATGCAGTGACAGGAGCAACCGTCTTCTGGCTCCAGGAGAGCATTGTCTGCTTGTGAACAAAGGCAGTCTCTTGTCCTGAGTTAGCTACTTGGTAGGGAGATGCTTGTGAGCCCAATAAGGTGTCTCCAGGGCACCTGCTCTTTGAGAAAGCTGAACATGTGTGTGGAAACGGGGGGCAATGAGTCGTTGTCTTGTGTGTGAATAAACAGCATTTTGCCCCTTTGGGAATAGGCTTCAGCTTTGCAAGGTTTCTCTTCTCTAGTTAGATAGAAGTATACTAGTTTGTCCGGGTAACTCCTGAGAGCTGTAAACTGGCCCAGTGGTATGTGCGACTGCCACGTTTGCCTGTCATGGGTTGCTTGCTTTTGTGGCGAGGGAGACAGGAGATGAGTGAGCTCTGGAGCTCTTCTTATTTCTGCTGGAACCATTGCCCAGAAATGTTGCACAATCTGAAGAGCTCGTTTTTTTCCTCAGGGACCCTGAGTTTGTTTTTTACGACCAGTTGAAGCAGGTGATGAACGCATACAGGTGTGTATTTCCCTTCAGGTGGGGTTGGGTCTATGTCTGTCTTTAGGGCTGTAGTTCCCTTGGTGACCTCACCCTTTGTCGGTCCATTTCAGGGTCAAACCAGCTATCTTTGACCTGCTTCTGGCTCTCTGTATAGCAGCCTACCTCGGAGTTGCCTATGTTGCGGTCCAGGTGAGGAAAATGGCATGATCCTTCTATTCCTTCACTTCCTTTTTAAGCTATAAGAATTTGAACCAGGTATGCAGCATGGGCACCCATGTCAAATTCAGCCTCTTCTCTGGAGGATAGAGGCCCCCTGATTTTTATGGCCCATTAATTCTTCTGGTACTGATGTGTTCACCTCCATGGGTGTCTTCACAGTCTTACCAGGCTCATAATTCAGCTCCTTTCTGGCTCTGCAGCATATTCCTAAGAGGGTGTGGACCAACCTAGAGCAGAATTCTTCTCTTGGGGATCATGGGCGGGAAAGGTGTGCTACATTGTTAGGTGATTAGCTTACATTCTGAGCTCTAATAGTTAGTGTGGGCTTCAGGCAGAGGGCCTGTCTGTGTTATCATTTGTTTGTATAACTTGTGTTGCGCATGCCCTGAGCAACATAACTTCTACCTCCCTAAGTGCCCGGACAGTGCTTCTGACAACATACCTACCACCTCTCACTGAGGCACTTCTGTTATGTACTATACTCTCGCCCCTTGGCACGGCGCATCTTCATCAGATGTGCTATAGCCACACAATTGCACTGCTGTAGACTAGCCCTGAGCCATCTGAGTTAAATCTGCCCTGCTGTATTAAGAGTTTACAGCCTGTGATGGGTCAGATCGTGCACTGAGATGCAAAACATCAGCACTCCAGATGCTTGAATTCAGACTGCTCAAAAAGATCTATGATTTTGTGCAATTAAGAAGAAACTCTCAATGTTTTGGAATATTAATACTTTCACGAATAATATCAGGAGACGTAGCAAGCAATTCAGTACATAGGAAATAAAGTAGCCCACGTTCAGGTGGCAGGTTACATCAGAAGCATGCCACATTCTAAGCTTGTTGGCCTGTCAGTAGATTGAGGGAGCTATTACTTTGAAATGATAATGAGGCCATTGGGAGTCTGGCTCCTGATATGGGTTAAATGCTCAATGAAAGAGAACCAGGTGTGATACAGATTGAGACCCAAGCCCTGATTTTTTGTATTTTTTTTAAAGATAGATGGCTTCAGGAAACAGCAGCCATTTTGTGTGTGTGTGTGTGTGTGTGTGTGTGTGTGTG